CTTAATATTTTGGAAAACGTATTGCAATATTCTGAGTTAGTTCCATATCCTTTAGTATGCATTATTTCCATGTACTTTTCAAGATACTTTCACTCTCGCTCTTTACAAGCCATGCAGCAAAATAAATACTATAAAGATACCACAATTAGCCACACTATAGCAACTACAGTTTCAATTTATTGTTTTCATAATATCAAAATGCAGTTTTGCATTATATCTTGTAACAAAGAAATATATCTCACATATAAATGATATCCATAGAAATTCAGTACCCCTGGTAATTTTATATATGATTATTTTACTACAGCCATAATGTGTTTCTGCTTTTCTGACACAAGTGGTATAGATCCAGGCTTGCTATGTTTACGACGGTTCAGTTCCCTAGAAAGAGACATTAAAATATATTTTATGTATTTCATTGCTTAGAAAATAAAGTTACTACTACATAACCAATATTCATATATCAGAATGTAGGATTATATTTGGAATACAATTAACATATTAGGTACTGGATTATGATTCTGAAAAGAAAGAAATATTGAGACACTCTTTTTCAGGGCAGATTCAATTAAAGTAAAAATAAAATTTGGAATAGATAGTCAATGTTCTCCTGTATATGCTGTGCACTTGGCTAATATAGATCTTGTTCAAAAGTAACATCATCTCCCATTTGTACAAAAGATGATTAGATTAATAGATGAATCCTATTCAGGTTTTAAAAAAAGATGGCATGGCATCTACTGAACAGCAGTAATTTCTGCTGTATCAGAATAAGAGCTCAAGGAGTGCTTTCTCCTTTTTGCTGTTCTTCCCACTTCAATTTAATTAATAGGATGAATCTGATTGCAAAGTCTAAAGACAGAAGCACTATTTGGAGACTACGTTAGCCATTAGATACTTACATAGATGCCATCAAATCAGATTTCCGTTCTGATGACTGCATGGTCAAATGCTGACCATCTCAATCTGTCTCTAGTAATAACCTGTAGTTCTTCCAGGGCATTCCAGTAATGACTCTGATCTTATTCACCTTCATTATCCATTGTCATCCCCTTCTAATTCCCTCAACATGGCCAAGCTAATTATTTCTATCCTATTGACTTAGATACTCCAACTAACTGTTTCAGCAAATACATGTTATTATAGAATTAAGCTTGGAAAGGAAACAATGTATTGTCCAAGCCAATGTCTTGTACTTTAGAAACACATCTAATAAGTCAAAACATGTTACTGTCAGATTAGTCTTATAATCAACTGGAAAAGACTCCAAAGTCTGTCTAGAGAGTTCCAGTCTGTTCAAAAGTAAATAGACAAATGGAAAGAATACTAGAATACATTTAATTTTAAAAAATTAAATAAAACATACTTTCGCCGACGAGCTTCTTTCATGATGCGTAGCTCTTTGGCTTGACTATAGATCATCTTTGGTAAGTGACGATGGCGATTTATACGTCTGATTTGGGGATGATGCTGGAATTTTTCTTTCAGTTTCTGATTATAGTTAATAGCAGCTCTCTCTCGAGGAGCAAGCTAGCAAAAAAAAAAAAATCACAATCTTAAAACATATATTTAACAATGATGAATTCCACAATACCAGAACAGATTTACGAGTGTGCAACATTTCATGAAATCTTGTCACCTTCTATATACTGGGGAAAGTCATGGAACTGCAAGATCCCAAAGAATAGCACAAAGTACTATCTGGCAAATAAATCTTATATTGGACACTGATGGGACAGAGGGAGGGAGGAAGATTAGGTCTAAATTTATACAGAAACCAAAGAAATTTATTTTAACTGTGAAAATCTCTATAGTTATACATCTCTAATAAATTCAATTAAAAGGCAATCTATTGTATTCTGCTTAGCCTGGTTGCTAAATCTCTGATGATTTAACTATGTTAAATGAGAAAAGTTCTACTTTGATCATCAGAATGGTGCAGAATATACCTCAAAATCCAACTAGATTTAAACTAGCTCTCAAGTAGAAGAAATATTTCTTTTTCAAAAACTGTTCATATAGAGAGAGACAGACTAAACATTAATTTTATTAGCTGTAGGAGGTATTTCCCACCACCCATCGTATTTCATTTCTTTTGCTTAGTCAGCAGTACATTTCAATCATCCCTATTGTGCAAAATGTCAATACAATCCAAATTAAAAGGTTTTCATTTTAATTAAAGGCAATTACATTAAAATGGTAGCTGACACAACCCTATTTCTTTCAAAGGAATGAGCCTTTTTAAAAATATTCACAGCACTTCTGGCTTGATGTTGCTCATTCTAATTATGAAATGAACAATGTAGATGAGTAAGAACGAACTCTTAAACAATCAGAATGACCAAATTTGTAAGCCCAGACAACCCTGTTTTAAATCACTAGGAATTAGCAATAGTAGCACTTCATACTGCAACATTTTACAGCAGCTTTTATTTATTTCCATTATTAATATGCTGCCAACATGATAAAATTCTAGGCAATTTATAAAGATAATAAATTAAGATGTCACACAAGTCTCCAAAGTTCAACAAATTATGTTTACAGGTAATCTCTGACATACGACCAGTTATTTAACAACTATTCAAAGTTATTGACAGCCTCAGGAAGGATGCTTTATGGTCTTATGACTGCAGGATGCTGTAAGCATTGTAAATCTAAGCCAGGTGCCAAATATCCAAATTGTGATCATGTGATAATTGGAGTGTTGTAATAGTCATAATTTCAAAGACGTATCATAAATCACCTTTTCTGAGGTCAACAATCATAGTGAGGACTACCATACTTTGGACAAAATCTTGATTGAAATGGAACCAGAAAATCAGTTTCATCCATGTGCAGATGGAGCTGGGAGGTCAGTTTGTGATTTGTCTTTTAAACATTTTGTCTAAAAATGAAATACGTGTATGAGTTGGATCTATATTACAGAGCTTTATTGGATCAAGGGAGGCCTCTTAACTTTATGACTGCCTCTTTTAAGAACACAGGAACACGTTCCATGCTCAAGGATGTACAGATCCCTCTGCTTAATCAGGAAGCCAATTCCAGACTTGCTATTTGATGGGCCAAGAAAGGCAAAGATCAAGAAGGCAATCAACTGCTTTTATTTCTCCATCCCCCTAAGATCTACTACCTAAAAAAAATCAGAACACTACAATGCCCCAACTACCGTAAAGTAGCAGCAAACACACAGCACTGGCAGATTCTTAGATGAGATGGAATTCCACAGCAAACTATGATTGACCCAAAGTCACTTAGCTGACTTTCATTCCTAAAGTGGGACTAAAACTTGCAATCTTCTAGTTTTTAGCCTGGTGCTTTAGCTGCTAGCCCAAACAGACTCTCTTGTTTAAGACAAAATAATTACAATGAATTATAGTTATTACCAAAATTTAAGGTTAACAACCTAGTGCTTTTTGACGGTCTAAAAGGAATAAATCTGCTTTAAGTCTAACAATGAATTTGCAGTTACTTACCACACCCAGCTTTTCAGAAGCATTTGCTTTCCACAAACGAATGTTCATTTCATCAGAGCCACACAAAATGTACTTATTGTCTGATGTCCATTTGACAGTGATGACATGTTGCATTCTCTTTGTATGATAGACCTCTCTAAGAATAGAAAAGATAGTTTGCTTTCATTTTAATTAGAAATATTTTATGGTATTTTTACAGAATTGTGCAGCTTTTGGGATTCAACTTGGAAGGGTGCAGGAGCATAAAAGTAGCATAGGAAAGATGCTATATTTGTACTACCAAGCACTTTTCACAGATTTATCCTAAGAGCTATGCAACCCTAAACATTTCTAAAAATTATCTGATTATACTGATCTTAATCAGGCAAATACCGGAAGTTAAAAAGTCAAAATAATAGATATGAAGAGGTGAGTCAGCATTAATTTATTATTTTGTTTGAAATAGAATAAAATAATTTTAGAGAAAATTAGAGATTGAGAAATTAACCATCTTTTTTTCTATGAAAAGGGTGTGATTTTAATAGAAAGCAGAGCAGTGACGATTCAAAAGAGCAGCTATATTTGAATTCATATTTGCCTTATATTTCAGTTTTTCTTTTGGCTTCTGTGAAAATAATCAATTATATTGATTATGACAAATATGTTGAGTATGAGCATAACCGTTCCGTGACATTTTCAATTTTTATATATACTCCCATTAAAAGCATCACTTCAAGGATGCCCTCTTTGTTGTTGTTGTTAATTGCGAAGTTGTGTCCGACCCATCGCGACCCCATGGACAACGTTCCTCCAGGTCTTCCTGTCCTCTACCATCTTCTGGAGTCCATTTAAGTTCACGCCTACTGCTTCAGTGACTCCATCCATCCATCTCATTCTCTGTCGTCCCCTTCTTCTATTGCCTTCGATCTTTCCCAGCATTAGGCCCTTCTCAAGTGAGTCCTTCCTTCTCATTAGGTGGCCAAAGTATTTGAATTTCAACTTCAGGATCTGGCCTTCTAAAGAGCAGTCGGGGTTGATCTCTTCTAGGACTGACTGGTTTGAACGCCTTGCAGTCCAAGGGACTCGCAGGAGTCTTCTCCAGCACCATAGTTCAAAGGCCTCAATTCTTTGTCGCTCAGCCTTTCTTATGGTCCAACTTTCACATCCATACATTGCAACTGGGAAAACCATG